CCTGAGCAAACAACATCCCCAAACCTGTACTTTGAATAAATTTGGAGATGAGTAGTAGTCCATGCCCAAAATTGTTTCTCAACATTGTCTATATATAGGAATCCCTGTGATATTGCTTTTTTTCACTTAAATTATTTTCATGGTATCTATAAATCAGCCCTTTTATCAGAAGTTGTATTTCTAAATGTTATGGATTCTTATACAACCAATGGATATCTGGAAAGCCATGCAATGTGGCAAGGATCACTTTTGAAATATTATATTTCTAGATAGAAGATGATAGTTCCCCTCTTTCTACCTGTTCATTCTCTTTCACTTTTCATACCACCCTCCCCCTTCCACACCCCACATTTGGATTGGGACCAGGACTGAGCACCCAAACTCAAGTGGAAGCTGAAAATGGACCTGAGAGGGAAGCGGGAGCTGGAGTGAGTCTTCATGTGTTAGGAAGAGTGTGGCATATGCTGGGGTCTGATGGTGGCCATATTCTGTAGGACTTACCATATTCTGTAATAAATGCTGCAGAGAGTGACCCAGATGCACATGGAGAAGACACAGGGTCTGAGGCCTCCAAGCTCCTGAATGTCCTGGTCTAATACTCCTGGGGCTACTACAGTCCTACCTACGGTCCCTGTGAGGCACGCTTGGAACTTTAAATTAGTTCCTGCTCATTTCTATTTCTTGGAACAAATGGAGACTTAAGTATCCCAAGCAGAATAAACAAAAAATAGGAGGGAAAATTGAAACCAAGGGGCTAATCTAATTAGGTTTGCCAAATTTAACCTACCTTGCTTGCTTTTGGTCACTTGTTTTTTGTTATTTGTTTTTTGGGTTTTTTTATTCACATCGCTGAAAACCACACTGCTGAACACTGAACTTAACCTTCACTGGCTTCTTTATAGATAACACTTCTGACATATGTCACCACAGTAACGATTGCTTCAGCTGTATTTCGGGAACTTGGAGGCAGCTCCTATCCAGTTCAAACCAGTTAAGACCAGTAACCCTTCAACTGATCACACACAAATGCCTGAGAGATGGCCTTTTGACATCAGAGGGCCAAAAAACTTCACCCTCAGATCACGGTAACACCAACATTTTCTGAACACGTGTCCTGTGAAGTGCCACGAACCCTGATTATGCCTGAGCAGATCACTGATTAATTCATTTATCCACACTGCTAATCACCTTTCCCCATGCCTTAGACCACCTTGCTTCTCTAACCTTGCTTCTCTAACAAATATCCCTAAGCCTTATTATCAGGGAGGCAGATTTGAGAGCTGTTCTCCTGCCTCCTCACTGGGCTGCCTTGTGAGTAAATTTTTTCTGTTTTGCAAAACCTGTCATTACGGTGACTGATTTACTGTGTGCTGCAGAATGAACCTGGTTGGTATCAAAATGGGCAGGAGTTTCAGGAAGGACCCTCCTTCTTTTCAAAGCCCCAGACAGGTCTTAGCAAAGAGCCAGGTTGTCAGAGACTCTTGATATAACTAAATCCAGGGGAGGGAGCTCAGGAGAATGCCTGGCCTGGTGTCTGGCATCCTAATGACAGCAGACTCCCCTTGAATAGGTCATGTCCAATCTGATCTATTTTCCTTCTCATTGAGGTTACAGGATGACTCCCTTAGCACATAAGCTCCTTAGCTCCTTTCTTATTTTATTAAAGAAACAGAGTGTAAATAGAATTGAGATTATCTGCACCATATAAAATAATCAATTGTGCATTTGTAAGATAGAATCATTTAATATACATACACACTTATGTAAAATCCCTTTGAGCTGCCATTTAAAAGACATCCAGCTTCACTGGTTGATTTTGGGTTTTTATTTCCACTGATAAATCAGAGAAGCTGACACTTGTGAAGGAAATTAGAAATATTTTACCCAAAATATATTTCTTTGACATATCTTGAGATGTCTGCCATGAGTCTCACAGATAGAAGTAACACTGCAAAGGTGTCTTTTGTGGGGATAATTTACATCTGTAGAGAATCTGCATTAATACAGCCAGGTCTATCCTTTCCCAAT